TTCAGGTTTCGGAGAAGACTAAATCAGCATTTGCAGTTGCAGAGGAAAAAGTTAGCACTGCTGGGTCTGCCATTATGAAAAACCGATACATATTGACCGGGACTAGCTGGGTTACTGGCGCTTTCAGTAAGGTAGCCAAGGCAGCTGGAGAGGTTGGTCAGAAAACAAAAGAGAAAGTCGAGGAGACGGAAGAAGAACAGAGAAAGAAGATGGTCGAAGATTTTGCTGAGGTTCATCTCTCGGAATCCCCTAAAGGAGGAGGAGGAGGAGCAGCAGCAGCAGCAGCATCTGCACCCCCTGAGCCTCAACAACGCCCCAAGCCCGAACCCGCTCAAGGTCTGATTCTCTGAATTGTTGTCATGTTTGTTGATATCTATGTCTGAAAGTTCATGTAGTTGTAATGTGTACTTCCCCTTCACTTCTGGCATATGATGGTGGTTATATTTTAGGGTGAAAAAATATAGAATAGATTTGTTGCTCAATTAGTAGTCGGACTTCGATTGCTTAAGATATCTTCATTTGACAGGATGATTTAAAAACAGCAGATTTTTCCATATTGAAAAACAAATTCTGCTCTTTCTATCATTGCTATCTATGTATCAGTGCTGTTCTGGGCTAGTTTTTGGAGTTCCAGAGATTTATTTGTGTTATGTGCTTCCAATTTTCTTTTACAAAACTTTGTTCTTCTTGGGAGTGTGGGAGTGTTTAATAAGTTCTTAAATTTTTAAAATATCGTTTAACAGAAATTTTCAAAATTCTGTATAGTTCGTTTGAGAAGAATCCTTTCTATGATTATACTTGACTATGTCGTTAGAAATACATAAGAAGAATATGACATGATGGGTCAATTAAGCATGTCCAAAAAGAAACAACCCATAGGCTCAAATTGCTGATATCTACCATAGGATAAAGATGTCAAAGTACCTAAGAGGAGGATGACATGATGGGTCAACGAAGCATGCCTAAAAGTAAACTAACCCACAGATTCGAACCAATGATATCTTTCATAGGGTAATACCTAAGAGGAGGATGCCTTGACAAAGTCAACGAAGTATGCCAAAAAGTAAAACAATTCGCAGACTCGAACTACTGAACATTGGTAAATCAACGTCTCTTAGTCCCAGATTGATTCTACCATGTCACGTTGAGTGCTTAGATTTGCTCGAATTTGGCAGATAAATCTAGTTTTCTTTGGTTTTTATAATTTATTAGAACGAAATCTATTCACTTGATAACTTAATCGAGTTTAACGAACAAAGAGTTGGTTAGTACATAAGAAATTTTATGATCTAGTTCTTCTCTAGGAATGAGGCAAAGTTTCATCTTGATACGGGTTTAGCCTCGCAAGTGTCAGATTATTATGAAGTTAGGAATGGTAATGACAAACGTGCATAGTTAGGGTTGACCTATTAAGAACCTTCAACGTTTTCAACTTTTATAGTTCTAAAAAAATGTTGTTTTAGTATGGGATGTGATGTCGAGACTGAACACGTGAGATAAGTAATAAAGAAAGCAAAAGGGTCCTATGGGGGGCGGGGGAACATCCGAGCACATTTTACATGCATAGCGTACTTTGGACTAAGCCAATATGAATCAAAGCATAGTTAATCCATGAGCATAGTTTGAGCCGTGTTGGCAAAATGACTCTGTTTGAGGATGAATACGCTCACTACATGTAACGACTTATTTTTTTATATAAATTTACTATTTTACCCCTCAATTTTAAAATTATGACATCGTTAAAATTTTAATGTTAAAAGGAGAATTACGTACATGGACGTGGCATGTGTAAAAAAGAATAAATAAATAAATATTGATCCAACCAGTTACAAGTGTTATTAAAATAATTTCTCTTATTAAATAATAATAATAATAACGAGGACATAAGCGTAATTTTAAATCCTGTGAGGGCTAACTAAACAAAGTCCAAGCTTCTTCATTTTCCCACATGGATTAGAAATCAAATTTCGCCTTCCAAATTGGCTCATTCTTCGGAAAAACCCTTCCAGATTCTTGCCGCATTCCTTAATCCTTCCAATATTTTCACCTCCGATTACGTTCATCGTTCGATCAATCACCCAGAATTCCGGCGACGACGACGAATCAGGTACGAGTTCTATACCACTCTATCTGGTAACACGTCGATTATCTCTGGCTGCAAAAATTTCGGCGATATTTGATCTCTGTTATGATTTTTACTGGGCGAATTCGTTGATTCCATTTGAAAAATATGAAGTATGCAATTATTGTTCTGTCTTTACATGAATTGATTTCAGTTTATAAGATGATACTGTGATTAGCTTGATCGATATTTGCTGAGTCTGCTTCAGCAGTATTAGCTTCAATTATTTCACATTTCTTATTATAAACAAGTATTGTAGGTTAAACAGGATTGGTTGTTGGTGTGTGTAAACTAAAATTATGTGACTATAAACCAATTGGTGACAAAAATCCCAGAAATGAGAATAGAAAAGGCAAGAACTGAAAACGTTTAGGTTTTGGTAATAAAGATTGTTACTGTTTCTTTGTGGTTTGATTGCTTCATGGCATCATATGCAATGTTCATTTGGTTCTAGAATTAAGTAGTTGTTTCTGAGACACAGATGATATTGGCTATTGAATGTTTTTCCTTCATTATTTAGTAACTATGATCAAGGTTGTTAAATGGTGACAGATACATAAAATCCTAACATAGCCTTGAATCTACAGTTTTATTTCAAATTCAAATATCAGGTTATGAAACAGTCCCTTTGTTTTGATATTTTTTGATGTCTCCATGAATATAACTTGGCAGAACAAAAAGGACTCTATTGTTACCCCTCTCTTCTACCTCTTAAAATTTTAGATTTTTCTTCTTCTTTGCAATTTCCCCTTGAATGCCAATAGTTCCTTCGTCTTCCTTTTTCAATTATAGAACTTGTACATGCCTTTCTCTCACATTTATAAAAATCAAAACCCATTTTCATGTCTAAAACATATTTTCTGGGTATCTATGGTCCCAATGGACTGATCTCAAGTGTTCTGGGATCCATTTCAGGTCACCCATGCCAGTGGAAGTGCATTTATGGTCCTGTTTTGCAAATTTTGAAATTTGATTTTCACACCTGGGATGTTGTATTAAAATCAGAACTTTCTTGGAAAGTTATGAAACTTTTGCTCTAGGTTTTTTATTTTGTCTCTTATTCCCTTGAAGCCTGATTTGTGTTCTAAAGATTATGAATTGCTTGTCATCCCAGTGCATTTCCTACTTGTCACTTATACGAATGGAACTGTGAGAATCGATGATAATCTAGTTCAAACGCATAGTTTTGAATTGTTCACATAGTGTTCCTCTTAGTTTGTTCAATATGGAACTCTTCTTCTTCTTTTTCTTAACTGAAAAATCACTTCCGTTGAGAAAAATAAACGAACACACAAAAGTGATATGAAACTTTGGACCAAAGGTCAAGCAGAAATTTCTAGCTGTTTAATGTTGTCTGAACAACATCCAGATGTGCATCTCCATTCTCCCGAGTGCATCCCGTCTTGTGAGGTTGATGGAGTTAGTTCTGGTTGATTAATTATTTGTACAGATTAGCACAAGAATGCACGTATATCTATAATTGTATTATTATGGATTAGGTTGATCATATATCATTATTTTTTAAAAAAGGTCATACCAATCCCATAATCTTCTTTTTTCTCGATAAAAGGGAAGGTTGTATTAATATCCGTGCCCAAGATCAAAATGAATCACGATAAGTTATTCAACAATCTAGTTTAAATGAGTGAGAGATAGTATTTGAATATCCAATTGGTGCACTTCAATGACTTGTCAAGATCAATCATCTATGAAAATATATGAAAACTTTTTGGTGGAATTATCAATATTACTAATAAGGTTAAGGTTTCCTCTTGTCGTGAACTATTTCTAGTAGTCAGACTGAATTCTTATATAACATGCCAAGCCAAAGCGATAACACACTTTTTGTTTAGGGTTTAGCACAGAAGTTTGGTACACGGTAATCTCTATATTTATGCTATGTTTGGCAGTACGTAGTGGCTATATAACACTTTCTATTCCTAGTTTTTATGTTTGGAAGTAATGTATTGTGTTTCCTCATATGCTTTATGAGGAAACACTAATAGAGTGTTTCAGGCACAAATAATTAATAGCATATGAGGGAACACTAACAGAGTGTTTCAGGCACAAATAAGTAATAGCATATGAGGAAACACTAATAGAGTGTTTTAGGCACAAATAATTAATCGAGAAGCAGTTTAAAGTATTTTCTAGAGTGTTCAACCAATTCTCTAGTAAATTTGTTATTAAGTACGTGGTACTAAAGGCTTATAAATAAATACTCGATACTGATGCGAATTGTATGATAATCACAGGAAGTAATAGCATCAAAATGGAGTTAGCAGACAAGACGGTTGGATTTTTGTTATCGCTAACTAGCTTGTCGATATTCACTTACTATACTTTCTGGATCATTATCCTGGTAAGCTTATCTTCCATGTTCATACATATTCTGCCAAAATTTGATCTCATTTAGTAAACTCGAGCATGTTCATGGTTGTTATCAACCAATGTATTTTTTTTTTTTTTGTTAAATGGCAGCCATTTGTTGATAGTGATCACTTCATCCACAACTATTTCTTACCACAAGAATATGCCATCTTGATACCTGTATTTGCTGGTGTGGTTCTTCTGTGCTTATTAGCCATATTTGTAGGAATAGTGATGCTCAAGTCCAAAAAGAAGAAGGCATGAGGATAGAGTTCAGTATTGTCTGTATTTTTGATAGTTTACTTCAAAAATGTGCTGCCTCGATGATTTTCGAACCATTCCGGTTTGTTTTTTTGTTAATTGATTGGTCAAAAATCTTGTTTTTCAGTATAAGATTCATTTTACTTCAATTGAAATTATTACCATTTATTTCTCCATCTCCTTCCTTCATTCTCTCTTGAAGTTATTTATGAACTAGAAACATATTTTATGCTCAATCATACATTTCTTTCCTCTATTGACAAGGATTTTGTTCAATTAGCACATCTTTTAGGCATCTCTTGTCTCTAGACAAGCAAGAAACTCAAACTCAAACTCATCGCCTCGTTCTTTCCTCGAAGAAAACACTTGAACAATCATAAGCTTAATCATCAAACACTTGAACAATCATAAGCTTAATCATCAAATAACAGAGATTTCAAAATGTTCGACGATCAAAAATTGTGTGTTGGGAATCTACCACCATGCCATATTGGAAACTGAAATTGGAACAAAAATCCTCCACAAAAAACCCCAGCAGTGTTTGGTTTGGACTCCAACTTTATAAGCAACCAAAAATTTGAAACCTAACACAGCTTAAACGCTGTCTTTCTTTCAAGCAAATAAACATTCAAACTTAACCCAAAATTACCATTTTCGGTTTCTTCATCATGTTGGTACCGCAGTTTTCCCTCCAAACATACCAATTTGCTGTTTGTTTTTCAACCACTGCAGAAAGATTTACAAGCACACACCTTAGTTTTCCATGCTCAAATTGTTGGCAGAGGTTTGTATATAACAATGCTAACATTTTTCACAATGACCATTTCACGAAAGTGGATAGATGATCAAACATACATTAATCAAATAAGCCTTACTCTTCGATTTCAAAAGTAATAGATCGGGGAGGGACAACATAGAGCTAACACGTAATATTCGAGAATACATGTATTCAAAAATCCCTGTCATGGCGGTTGTAATCAATCCATAGATACAAGAATCCATATGTTTATATGTAGTCAATCCTTGTCTTAACATAGAGCTAATAACCCGTCGCTCGGTCCACCTGTCTTAGCGGGTAAGCAACCCTACTTTCTTTAAGAAGTCATAGATTCGAGAATCCCCTCTATTATAAAGTAAATGAACATAACACAAAGGGGTATGCTTTTGTAGGTGGAATGATGGGAGGGAACGGGAGAATGGAAATCCTATGATCTTCTTCCCCAAGGTTGTGCCCCTTTATTGTGTGTGTAAATAATAAGGCGACTTCTGCAGAAAACTGAGCAGCATAGCTTGTGTTCATCGACCCTGAGAGGACATCGTGAATCCACATCCTCAATATCCCACCATCCAAAAAAAGCACCATGAAGAATTTGACAAGAACAATCTCAAGTAAACAAAAACATTGCTAGAATGTTAAGAAAAGTAATTTCTCCTAAGCCTTGATGTTTGTATACTTGAGTTCATTTGAGCTGTAATTTCTAGTTCGATCTAATGTAGGAGTTCATGATTGATTGATAAGATTTGATGGGCAACTAAGGATATGAACCCAAAATTTGATTTCAGAAATGCCTTATGATCACAAAGAACACAGAAAAATTTCCAATGAGAGAGGGAGAAAGAGAGATTTACCAGAAAAGTAATCAAGCCCAGGAATTATCAAATGCAGCAGAAGTAATAGCCTGAGAGAACTCTTGAAAATTGATTCTGCCATCGCCGTCGGTATCGGCTTCCCTGATCATTCCGGTGAGCTCCTCCGCCGTGAGGGCGTGGCCGAGTTTGGCCATGGAGTGAGCCAACTCGGCTGCAGTGATAAACCCATTCCCATCTCTATCAAACATCCTAAACAACTGCCTTAATTGATCCTCTGTGTAAGGGCACTTCGCCGATACCAGCTCCGGCTCCACCAAAGCTACGAACTCCGAAAATTCCACTAATCCATTGCTGTTCGTATCGGCCTTCATTATCAAACTCTCAAGCTGATCTGGACTTGGCTTTAAACCAAGTGATCGTAAGAGCGATCCGAGTTCGAGTTGTGTCAAACTCCCGTCGTTATTCCGATCGAACGACCGGAAGATTTCCCTCAGCTCAGCAATTTGTTCGTCGTCTAACTTAATCGGTTGCTTATCGCTCATGTTAAACACAGCCCTAATTTAGTCGAAGAAATCTTAAAATTCCTGTAGAAACTAAACGAAATCCCCAAAACAAATAATCTATCTCCTTTTAATCGGCATTCAATTACACCAATGTTCTTCTCGAGAAGAATAAGAAACAGAAACAAATAATCTAATCCTTAGGTGTTTTAGGATCTTACGCCCTGGATTCGCCCAATCTGAATCCACTCCCTCAACAACAACATCAAGCAAGAACAATACCTCGAAAATTCCAATCAGGATTCACCAAAATCGAAAGCCAATCGATCAAAACCAAGCTTGAATTTTCTGAATGGCTTTTGAGATGGAGATCGAACGATCCGAAACATGCACGAATGTCGTTGTTCTTCCTCCTGGTTCGGTGGATCGACCGAATCACCCGTGAATGTTCTAATTCACCGAAAAATCGGATCCTCAACAGTGAAATTTTCTGAAGAACAACGACGAAGAGTTCAATGAGAAGTTTCCGAAACGAATCAAAATGAAAACCCCCCAAAACAATTTTCGGATTGGTTTCGAAGAATTAGAGACTCTAATTCTTCGAAACCTGTAATTCTAATTTTTATCAATTTTTTTTTCAAAAAATTTTAATTGTTTTCTTCAGTTTTCGTTCAAAATTTCCGGGAAAATTATTCCAACGGAAATTTCCGATAGAAAAGGCGGGAATTTCGTGACAAAGTTGCACGTCTCTTAAATGCTGACGTGTACTTTTCTGTTGGTGTCATGGTGTCAACTACTTATTATAAGTAATTTACCATTTTACCCTTTCAGAACTTATTTAAATTAAGTTTGATTTATGTGTTTTTGTAAAACTAAATTGGGTTAAATCAAATTTATCTAAATTTCTTGAAATATATTTTTGTTTATGATACAATTACTATTTATTTTACTTTTATCTAGTTTTATTATTAATTTTGTGTTATTTATTCTTCTATTGACTCTTAAAAAAAATAATTTTTAACTATTTAAAATATATATTTAAATTGAATTCTACCCATTAAATCTTTGAAAATAAATAGCTAACATTTTTTTTTACTAAAATAAAAATTTTAATATACAACCCAAATTAACCCAACATAAAAAATTTATGGTTAGATTGAATTAGTTTGGAATGAACAAAATTATAGTTCAAATAATTGAATTGAGTCTAAAAAATGTCTCGTCTCGACTCAGCTCAAACCCCTAATAACTGTATGTTACGCTTAAATTGTGTCATTTCTAATACTCTTGTTAACATTTGGTCACGTGATTACTAAATATATTATTTTATTAAATATGGTTTAGTTCTAGGTGTCGTGTAAAGAGGTATCCCGAGCTAGTTTTACTTGTTTTTAAAGCATTCTTTTATTTTTATATCATAAATTATTGTTTTTAAGTAACAACCTTGATCAATAATTATTTAAATTCATTAATGCAAATGACAAGAGAAATGAATACAATATTGGGCCTAAATGGAACATGAAAGCCCAAACATTAATTGGGTCTAAATGGAACATGAAAGCCCAACATTAATTGAGCCTAAATGGAACGTGAAAGCCCAAACATTAATTGAGCCTAATGGAATGTGAAAGCCCAAACATTAATTGGGCCTATATGGAACGTGAAAGCCCAAACATTAATTGGGCCTAAATGTAACGTGAAAGCCCAAAATATTTACTGAATATTTGTTGTTTAAATTGATGGAATCAACTCGGCTTGGCTTCATGGTATAAGATACTCTGAACAATTAACACCACGAGAGTTTGGTTGGATTAGATTTTTTTCGGTTTGAATTGTATTAAATTTTTGCTTTTTCATAACCTAAATGAACCGTACTTTTAAGATTGTTAGAAAGATTAAAAATATTTATTGCTTATAACAAATGTTAGTGACGTGACTTGTAAATGTATGATATCTAAGGTTTATAAAATTTTAGTTATTGATATAACATGTACCGTGGCGTAGACAAGTGAGATTTTTTTTTATAATAAATTAAAAAATAAACAACTTAACAATTCGACTCGATCCGACCCAACTTCAAACTAGAAGATTTCTAGTTCATTAACGAGTACGTTAAGATAAAAAAAAAAAAAAAGCGAACGTTTGAAAATAAAATAATATAGTCATGAAAAGGAAATAAAGGACTAAATTGCAAAAATAGCCCTAATAAACCCTATTTGGGAAATTCAATATTTTTTTGGTTGGGCTCCACAAATCCAATTCAAAATATTTTTAATACCATTTTCCCTTAAAATATCATTTTTAATAATCCTTGGAACAATAGTTTTTTTTTTTTTTTTTAATTATTATTATTTATCTTTTTTTGACATAAATAACCCCACCAAATGGGAAGAAATGAAAAGTCCCATTTTGGACTATTTGGTGTATGTTTTGGGCAAAATAATGATTTGTGTAGGACCCCAAATGGTAATTTTACCTAAATTTGTCAATAAAAAAATATATAAAATATTTTCTTATTATTATTATTGAAGTCAAAATAATTGGAATATTATTTCCAAAAATAGAGAAATTTTAATACAAAATATGTCAAAATTTTGTTGGAAATTGGCCCAAAAGAGAAGTTCTTGAGATTATTCAAAGCTTACACAGCCAATAGAAAATAATATTAAATTTTTAAAATTAAATAAATTAAATTAAATGAGTGGTAGTGGAAAAGGATGGGATATTTTTAATTTTAAAAATATTATATATTAATATAAAGTGGATTCAAAAGATTTGGTGACGTGTCATGAATCTCCATGGGGACATGACAATTTTTAACTATATTATTTATGTATACGTCATAATATTTTTTATAATATTAGAGCTCTACGTGTATTTGGTCGGGTTGACAAAAATCGTTTGAACCAACCCAAAATTTCGTATTTGTTAGGTTGGTGACCCGAGTAACCTAAATAGATTTCATAACTCAACCTTCTATTTTTTTTCGGGTTGTATTAGATTGTCGGTTTATTTTTTTAATTATTTAAGAAAATCCTATTTACCCTCTATCCATATTATATTAATAAACTAAAATCTCATAAAATTTAAATAAAAAATATTCACACGTCAGAATGTATCACCTAACATCAGTTACAAACGTCAAATATTCTTAATTTTCATAGTAATCGTCAAATATTCTTAATTTTCATAGTAATCTTAAAGGTTGAGTTGAGCTGTAGTCATGTTTTCAGGTTAGTCAGGTTAACCAGACAAAATAACAGTATTAACCCGCAAGCTAACCCAAATTTTCGTTTTTAAAAAATTCAACCTAATCCAAATAAAAAAAAAAAGATTTGGACATGCTAATTTACCAAAACAACCCTGTAATTTTAATATATTGTTCTTTAATAGTAATAATTTGAAAGGAAAGCAAGGCACCGACAATATCCTTTAATTCAATTATACATTTTTGTTAAATAAAATAATAATACAAAATTACCAACCTTCCTTTAAGCACTCATTTTCACATCAATCAATTCTATTTTTTTAATTTAAAAAAAAACCGACATTTTTTATTATTTAATTATGACGGGTGAGAAGTTAACGATTATTATATCTGATATTTTGTGTTTTATTCTCTAAAATTGCTCGTATTAGCTAATATAAATTTAAATAAGTAAAACAAAATAAATAAATACTAGTTAATTAGACTATAAAACTTAAAACGATAAAATATAAATAAAAAAAAGTGAAACATATTATTATTATTATTATTTAAGTTCAATTTATTAGATATATAATAGAATTCCATATAAAATCAAACCTAACATTTTTTATTTTATAGTTAATTAATTTTTAAAAAGAAAATATAATTAATAATGCATTAAGCAGAAAATTAAAAAATTTACATATGAAATGTAAGATTAAAATTTTAAAAATAATACCCACCTCCAAATTAAAAAATAAATAAAATAGATTTTTATTTTGTATAAATGTTTTAGTCGATATACGTTGGCTAATTAAGAGAAACATAACGACAATTCTTTTTTGTTTGCCAATTTGAATTCACTTTGTCGAGAATGATTTAAATTCATACCATTTCCGTTGTTTATAGAATAACTTTTCAAGATTTAATTATATAACAAAAAAAGTGCAACGTCGTTTTCACGTATTGATATATAAACGAAAAATCGAATGATGTTGATGCACAAACTAAAAAGAAAACGACCGTTTGCTAACTTTTTAAGAAGTGGATATTACTGAGGTATTGTATCTTAATTAGTAAACAAAACTCGAGATGGTCTTTATTATTAAAGTTTTTTTTTTTTTTTTTTTTTTTTT